CTCATAAAAATACAATCGCCGTTCGGAGTCGGGGTACAACTGTAGGTCCCTCCCTACGCACGTACGCCGCAAATCGGAGGAGAAGCTCATATGTGTAAGCGCCAATCTATTATTATTATTAATGTTAAAGCAAAAAAAAATCGTTAGCATTATTTCTTCGGAATTAATGCATTGAAATATCCATTTTCATTAAATTTCGAAAACTAATGCATTAATTTTTTTCATTTACATTCAAATGCTATGCTTAAAAAAATTAATGTATTTTTCACAACTCTGGCATGTACTAAGACAACTTGAGTACAACTTACTGTCGAAAAGTACAGCTTTTGTTTAGATTTCGTACTGAAGGAACAATTTCATTTCCCAACACTGATACAGAATATAAACAAACACAGGGTTGCAAGGAAAAAAATTTGAACGAGCCCAAAGTTGGCTGTTGACCATGAACCAAAAATACAAGATCACGTAAGAACTCGACGTTGTATTTGTAACTGGTTTTGAGAAAAAAGTTTGCGAAAGCGGGTTCGTCAGCTGAGCGTTTGTTTACATCACAAGCACCACTATTTTACACTTTTATTCAAGTAAAGAAGAGTTAGTTCAACATGACAACACATTTTAAAGCATTTTGTTGTATCATTTTACCCAAATTGTGCGTTTAAAGTGGCTGACAATAATTTTGGCTAATTTTGGTTTTCGTTGTTTTCTTTGCTTTGTTTACATTTCGCTCGTTTTCCAGTGGAACAAGATGGCGTAGAACCCGCTAAAAAAAATCGACTTTTTTCACTCTCTTGTTCTTACGTGATCTTGTGTCTTTCGTTCATGGCTGTTGACCAAGAATGATAGAATACAAGATTGCGCCGTCCTGAGCGTTGACATTTGTGTACCACAAGTAAACAAAGAATAGAGCGAAAAGAAGAACGAGTTGAAACAGCCAAAGCAGTTCACTTTACTGCGAAAAACGTGTTTTAATTTTGCTAAATGCGAAAATATTGCATTTTTCACCTAATCTATTAGAGAACAGTGAACATTGTGGTGCACTTCATTGCTTTGCAATTGAGGCTGCTTCAGCAAACGTTTTAGTACACTCCATTGCTTTGCTATTAAGGCTGCTGCAGAAAACTGCAGCAGCGTCTCTGCTGGACTGATTAGTTAACTTGCTAATGGAGGCTGCGTGGAGCAGAAACCAAATATTGTGAGGAAATGCTGTTAATATAATAATAGAGAAACATTTCGGGAACGGCTTTGCCGTGCCCTATGTACACAAAATGCAACGATTCGTCCCAGCGCTACACTTGCATCTACGCTTCTTGCATCTTGACGGTTGTCGCAATTTAACACACAGCACTTCATTGTATTCATTGTATACGCAGTCTTCAACTCAAAAATCACTCACAAATTGCAAATTAACACGATTTAAACTGATTTTTCACTTATAATTCAACTTTCTCTTTCGTTGATTTGTAAACAAAGGTTTATTTACAAGTTACCACAACTGTCAAAATCGGTAAAACCAAAGTAGCGGTACCACTGACGGCGCCACCTTTGTTCGCTGCACCGTGGCTGTTGACCAACTTTGTTGAAAGCGATTAGTTGAAAGGCTGTTCGGACGAGGCGATTTTTGCTTTCAACTAAAAGTAGCCTGAAAAATCGCAGCGTGCGAATGCCCTATTACGTGTAGGCTGCCATCAACCAAAAATTTCTTTCGTTCATGGTAGGCTGCCACGTTTTTTGCTGTTAAGGTGAAATTAGTCAGAAACGCAGAACGTACACTTAAACGCAGTCTGTATACGCAGAAATTTGTCGATTACTGGAGGCCTGAGTGTTGCTTCCTACAGGGTGTCCACTCATCAATGCCTTTTCATAAACTTACCTTTTCAACTAAAATTTTTCATGCTATAATAGATCGTAGCTATATATAAACTACTTAGTTTTGAACAAAAAACCTTATTCAATAGTAAATTTTAAATCTTTTAAACGTATTTTGAATAGGATATTATAACTTTTTTACCATCTGCAAAACTGACGAATTGGCAACCATCTATAGAAGGAAGAAATCAGCTAACACGGAAAAATCTAAATTCCGCAGATTTCTGCGCTACGGGCTTCAACTACAGAAAAATTCCGCGGTGTTGAGTTTTCATTTACATGGCGCTCTGGTAAGACAGGTCGTGTCAGCAGCCTCGGATTTACGTACCGGTAGGTTTACGTTCTGCACTAATTTTACCTTTAGTAAGCCAATTAGCCCATAAAGTGTTGGCAGCTCTTTTTTACTGTCAGGTCATGTGTCAGGTTCACAAAGGACGAAATATCGTGCCGTTTGGTGTGTATTGTTGGTTATAAATAAGTACGAGTTTTAGTCATGAACCGGTAAATTTAGTTTTATGGTGCACAAAAATAATAGTTTGACCGTGTAATTTCTAAAGTGTAGCTGACGAGATTTCTATTCACAAGAAGTTAAACAAAATTTAACGGAAATTGTGCGAGAATATGGAAAAATCGCCTCGATGTAATTTGGAATTTGTGCGCGACGACGACTACGTTGAATATTTTATTTTCCAAATTTTGTCAGATAAGTTAACAAATATACAAGAAAGAAGTGTAGAGCTGGAGCAGCTCCGAGGGGAATTGTCTCTACTTGAAAAACAATGCATGGAAATCGTGAACAGACGGGTTGAAAGCTATGGCTATATTTGGCACAAAGATGAATTTAAATTACAAATGCGCACCGAGTGTGCGCAGGAACGACTGTTGAATAACGAGGTTAACAATAGCTCGCTTGGTTCTGTCGCAGGTGAGTAGCTTATTTTTATATTTTATTAACCATATCTATGTTAAAAAATTGTGTATATAAAAACAGCATTACCTCTACCCCCCCATCTGCATGGCATTTCACACTATGGAGAAAATATCGAAGATGAGTGGTTCATAGTCCACCTTTTATATGAGTTAACACGTGAGGTGCCAGGCTGCATTGCTCGTGTCATTGACGCTGATGGAGAGTTTCTCTTAGTTGAAGCTGCCGAGGCACTTCCAACGTGGGCCAATCCAGAAAGCTGCGAACAGAGAGTACGTAATCATAATTGATATTTCTTGAGTCATATATTAACTACAGATATTCTTAGGTTTACATAGCTGACGGCCACATGCATTTGGTTCAAAACTCACCATCTACTTCCTCAAAATTATTATCGGTTGGTGCAGCAGTTGAGAAAATAAGACAGAACCCCACTCTCTATCGTGTATCTAAGGAAATTCAAAATTGCATTAACGAACGTACGAAAGTTTTTAATGGAAGTAGTAATCCAGCAGCACATCGCCAGATAATGCGTTTACCTTTGGGTGTCGCAGCGCTACTTAAAACTCGTCCATCGTTGATTGCACCAGCTGTACGAGCTTTCTGTGAACGTGATGCTATTGACTTAAAGGTTTGCCGTTCAATGCGGTATTTCCCACCTGAGCAGTGTGTTCGAACCAATGTTCTATTCACTCGTTGTCTCTACGCTATGCTTATGCACACAAATTACAAGCCTGACAAGAAAGTTGGCTGGGTGCTAAGCAATACTACTAATACTAAAGAATATAAAGAGCAGATATTAGGCATACAAGTTGCGTGCGGTTTTGAAATTTTAGCCTCTCAGGCTAAATGTGCGAATCAAGATGAAAATGATCCGAATTGGCGTTCTTATGTTAAAAATTTAACGTCAAAAGGATATTTTCGAAACAACTTAGCGGGCTCAGAAGTGTATAAACGTCTGTGGAACGAAGCACGTACATATTTTACTAAAAATAATGACCGCTTTCGCATAACGCCATTAGTTGGATTAGAAATTTTAAATTTGCTACAGAATGTAGATATTTCGGCAGAAAATTTGTGCGATGAAGAAAACAATCTGGAGGTACGCAAAACTTCTATATTTTACTTTGTTAATATACTGTACTAATCCTATCCTTAGCCGAGTGATGCCGACGATTGGTTAAATATTAGTGCAGATCAGTTGGATGCAATGTTGATAGAACGATATGGTCCCAAAAAAATGCTTAACTCGAATGGTGACATAAATGCCGCTGAATTTACAAAAAATCTCGCTGATTTTCTTGATAAAGAATCTACATACGAAGGTATAGACGATGATGAAATTGAGGATTCAGATAGTGATTGTATCGAGGCGGAAACCAGTGCAACGCCTAAAAAGAATGACGACCCAAAAGTTAACCTTAAAAAAAATCATTCCATGCGTAAGGCTTGTAATCGGAACTCAGTTATTAATGAAACAGCAAACGCAAATCGAAACAATCAAGCCACTAACGTGGAAACTGAAGATAGCACACATGTACGAAATTTTTTGGATTTCGTTATTCCAGAAGACAAATGGGACTCTACTTCTGAAATGAGTGACTATGAAGATGATGATAAATTGGAGCACAATTTTGAATCAATGGCAAATTCCGACAAAAATATTGATAGTCATATCAAAAATTACATGGACCAAATGGATAAAGAACTTGCTAAGACCACTATTGGTCAAACATTTGAGAAAAATAGCTCTTTTACGGCTTCCAAAAACGCAGATGATTTCGATGACATCGAGTCATTTCAACCGATTAACATCAATGTAAACACTTTAAAGAACATAGTGGATAGCTACAAATCACAGTTGGGAGGATCGGGCCCAGTTTCGAATTTGCTGAGTGCAATGGGTGTGGGTATGTCAAATGCAGCACAACTCGACAGCGACGATGATGAAGCTGATGTTTTAAAAGAATCCAGGGTATAGGCTTAAGACTCGTAAATATGTATATACATAGGTATGGAAATGTACATATAAAGCGCTGGGATCTGAAATTTTTTTGCATCACTGTATTATTTATATGTGTCCAACTACGTCTTGATACGCCTTGGTCACTGGCACATATTTTATGTCGTGCATTCAATTCATATAGTTCTAGGATGTGCCCATTACATCCAAAAGTATCCTGTTATGCGAAGGCTTGTATTAAAGTAAATTTACGAACAATATTTTTTTTATTTTTCCATATATTGATAAAACCGTGTAATAATTTTGGTTGGAACAAGTGCAGAATACCTACATTTCACTACTTTGAACTTCAATAACACCAGCAATTATTATTTCCCCAATAAAAAATTATACTTTTCTGATCAGGACTAAATTTTAATCAGATAAATGTACGTATTCTGCACTTAATGCTGTTGTTCCCAGCTTCTACGTACTTTGAATTTCAATAACACCAGTAATTATTATTTTCCGCACAAAAAATTATACCGTTACGATCAGGATTAAGAGTCCTATCGATCCTAACATAAATTTTTTTAATTTGGGAATTGCAGGTATTCTACATTTAAGCTATTTTGGTTAAATATAGCCGTAATTATACGCTGAAATCTTAGTTTTCGATTAATCTTTAGAGGCAGGGACAAAATTTCCATAGTCTCTTCGTACATTCATTGGTTGATGCGGGCGCTCCTCACGACCATTGCCACCACGGAAGTTTCTGTCGGTGGGGTTATCGTTGTAAAGTCGGTTATGTCTGTACAATTGACCTCCGCCGACGCGAAATCCTCTGCCATGAGCATGATCTCGGCCGCGTTTATTCCAACCTCCGCGATTATATTTGCTGCCACCTCCATAACTGTTTCGTTGCCCAGAAGAACCGCGGTAGCTGTTGCTGGACCCAGAATAGCCCCAATTTTCAACTATCGGTGGGTCAGCGAGCGGTTTCGAGCAGTGATTATAAAAATCAGCGTCCTCGTCAGTAAAGCGATTCGAGAATTCCTCCTGGCATTCATCTAAGAACTCGATATCTTTCTCCGTTAGGCGGTTAATTTTACGATTAGGGTCGACCATCTTCAAAGGTTGAGTAAAGAAAATTCCACAATTTAGAAAATCCACAAGACTGCCAACTTCGCCCGCAACTACATTATTTTACATTAATAGCGAATAGAAAATCAAAGAAAACAGTGAAATCAGCTGTTCATGTACATTCACAATGACAGCAAAGTCAAGGCGTATTCATACTGCGGCAACACAAAGCGAACAACGAGAAATAGACAGAATGTTCGAGGAATGACGTAGAATGTTCCACAAAGAGAAACGTCAAGTAGGATGAACACTGCGAACAGCGAGAGAAAGAGAATGAGCGATGAAATTCAGAACGTCCGAGAGTTGCCATGAGTGCGAGCGCAGGTATAAAAGAGCCACCAAGAATGATAGAATACAAGATTGCGCCGATCAGAGAGGATTTATGAGAATAACTTTTGTGTGACGTCACACTCATGGGCGTGGCCAGGTAGGGGCAGAGGGGTGCTCGAGCCTCCCCCCCTAACTTTCAAATTTTCCTTATATCTATATAAAATAGTACCCTGAAATGCCAGCTTAATATGGTCGAGCCCCCCTAAATTTCATATCTATATTGTAATATATCATTTAGTTTATCAATTAAATTGCGCAAAATTTTTTAACAGGTGGCAATCCTGCTTTAAAATATTTTCGCCTGTGAGCCTTCTTTAAATTCTTTAGTTTTATACCCACATTGCAATATTTCATTTACTTTATTAATTTAACTGGGTTAAAACTTTTAAAATAGGCGGAAACCCTCCTAAAAAATATTTCCAGCAGTTATCTTTCTTAAATCTCTTTAATTTAATATCTATATTGTAATATATAATTACGTTTATCAATTAAATTGCGAAAAAATATTTAACAGGTGGCAACCCTCCTTTAAAATATTTTCGATTGTAAGCCTTCTTAAAACTCTTTAGCTTGACACCCATATGGCAATATTTTATTTATTTTATCAATTTGACTGAGTTAAAATTACCAAATAAGTGGCAACACTCTTCAAAAATATTTCTAGCAGTTATCTTTCTTAACCCTCTTTAATTTGATACCAATATTGTAATATTTCATTTATTTCATCAGTGTAATTTAGTTAAACTTTGAAACAGGTGGCAACCCTAACCCTACATATTTTCGGCTGTAAGCCTTCTTAACACTCTTTAATTTGATACCCACATTGCAATATTTCATTTGCTTAATCAATTTAACTGAGTTAAAATTCTCAAATAGGTGGCAACCCCCGTCAAAAATATTTCCAGCAGCTATCTTTCTTAAACCTCTCTAATGTGATACCCATATTACTATAATTTATTTATTTTATCAATATATTTGGGTTTACAAATTTTCAATAGCCGGCAACCCTCCAATTGTTTGCGATATCATTGGTTCTGATATTATACCGAACAATACAAAAAAAAATTATTCAAATCGGCTCAGAAGTTCTCGAGTTTTGACGACCGTGACATACGAACACAACATTTTTATTAATATAGATATAAGATATATGTAAGATGTATATCAGAAAATTAATAAGATGAAATTAAATTATTTGGGGTGTTCACAGTTCGTTCCAAATAGTGTCTCAAAATGTAGACGTCTACATTTTAAGACGTTTTCTAACCGTAAAATCTGTGGTGTTGTTGTTTCCCATACAAAATTGGAAAACGACGCCGTCTACATTTTGTCACACTCAAAGGTATGTTTTTTACGCGTCTACATTTTGCAACCTCGCAGCAGGGTTGCATTATGGCAATACTAATCACATTTTTTTTATTTATTGGGCACGTTTTCTGTATTTGCATTTAACTTGAGCGCAATTTCTGATGAAAAGAAACAAATCAAGGAAAAGAAATAACAAATATTACGAATTGCTAATTAAGTTAAATAATTACAATTTTTCAGAAACAAAATCGAAAGGCGACATATAAAAAATGCACGCAAGGAAGAAATGTCTGGCAACACCAGCAAAGTTTTGAGACGATTTTGCGACGGCTGCTAGAAAGGTGTGCTCACAGTTTAATGCTAAAGATGTCTCAAAATGTAGACGTCTACATTTTCAGACACAATTTGGAACGAACTGTGAACACCCCAATTGGTTGATTTCTAACCAAAACTATGAATGAACAGTAAAACACGCTTAAGTACCTCACGAAGAATGCCAGATTTTTGAGGTACTTAGGCGGTTTACGTACTTAAAAGAACCCGCTTAAGTACCTCGATGCGGATACTTAAGCGAACATAATTACTGATATAGTTACATCTTTTTGTTAACTTACATAAATATGTAAATCATTGAATAAAACATAAACATTTAATGAAGTATACGTATTTATGTAAGATTTTTCAATTAAAATATGCTGCCACTGAGATTCAAAGTATGTAAATATTTTAAGGAATTTTAAAAGAGCACTTAAAAGGGGAAAATTATAGGTAACATGGTAAATGGGGTACGAAAAATTGAGGTACTTAGGCGGGTTGGGTAAATAAGCGGGGAGGTACTTAAGGGAGGGATTTTCTTCATATTACATTCAAAAATTCGCATTGCATTTTTTGGCTACTTAAGCGGGTTAGGTACTTAACCGGGGGGTACTTAAGCGGGTTTCACTGTAACTCAATCGGCTAATGGTTTGCCGAACCGTAAACAAATGTTTACACATCCAATTTCACTCACACCTTTTTTTAAGAAGTTTCACTTCTATCATGTGTACGGTGTTACACACGCATTTTTTTTTTCATACAAAAGTATGTTTGACAATTTTCTTTTATATGGAGAATACTGCAAAAAAATTTACAAAAATTAACGGGATTTTATAGCAGCTTGAAACTAGCACTTCATTATACTAGAATTAAATGGTCTACAAAACTGCCTACCAAAATTCTGGATAAAAAGTTTGAAATTTTGGTGAAAATATGCAGAATTTTTTTAATTTTTGTACAAAGTTTGAAGTCTGAATTTATATAGTGTTTGTTGTATATCAGCTAGACTTTTATAAAATAAAAAATAATAAACATCACTCAAAATATCGCAATTATGTAATGCATGAACGAAAGACACAAGATCACGCGGGAAGGAAAGAAAGAAAAAAGTTATTTTCTAGTTGCCGAAATCTCGACGCCATCTTTGTTATAAGAAGTAAACAACGAAGAGAACGGAGAAAACCGCGAAATTGTTGAACGCATGAATAATCATTTTCATTATGAAAATTCTTCTATAAATCATGTCGTTGTGTTAAATTATTCTTTATCTTATGTGTACACACGTTGTCACAGGCGAAAATGAAGAAAATTGCAGTAAAAAGCTACCACCAAATTGTAAACAACAAAGAAATGTAAACAAACGGCTTATGTCAAAATCGTTAAACTTTTTTCCTAAATGCGATTCTAACGGGCTACTCTCCTGCCCGCGTGATCTTGTCTTTTTGGTTCATGTATGTGATGTACATAAATCTTATATATGTACATATATTTTTACACATACATATGCAAGACTTGCATTGCAAGTATGTACATCATAGGCAAGGCGTATTCAATAAGGTGGTATCGGTACGACAATAACAAAATGTTTTTGGAATCGATGAACTTACTCGAACAAGACGATGGTCGAAAACATATGATGAAACATCTTCTGGCGTGCCTTTGACAATCGTTAAGTTAGACGGAGGCTTCACATACGATATTTCACACATGGCTGGAATTCGTTAGCGGACAGAGCACACATTTACAAAATATTTATCGTTCTGCAGAACGTGCATGCATATTCGATTCCGATTTTATGGGTCGATTACGGAGGACAACCGAACTTCAGTGGGTTGGCCAGTGGCTGAAATGGTATTACCGATGGCAACTAGCAACTGAAAGCTGGTAACTGAGTTGCTTTATTGGCACGAACTAATCAAGGCTGTCATAGAATCCATCGTAGTCCGATTTTCCGTGAAATCTACGAAAATCCAATTAAATTCGAGTAGCTACGAACGCAGTGCTTGCTTTGAATACACATGTTCATAGCAGTTCAGATTCAGTGATCGCTTTTTTGTAGATTTTACGAAAAATCGGACTGCGATGGATTCCGCCACCAATATATTTTCTCCTTTGAAAAGATGTTGGAGAATCCCGGCAGCACAGCCCTATACCTACCCTATGCTCTTACGTGCATATGCTAAATTTCTCGTACCTAGCTAAAGTGCTTGACAAAGGCAGAAGGCTTATCTTCAACATTATAACTTAAAGTAAAAGAGTTAAAGATATGCAATAAAAGAATACAACAGAACCAAAAAATCTCAAAACTATTAACATAAAAAATTGCACGAATAAAATTCATAATTGAAAATAAAATAAAATATCGCAATTGTTTTTTATATGTACATACATATTTACAAAATGAATCTTAAAGCACCCACAGTAAGTCCTAAACATATAAACGACTAATAAGAAAAATAATAAATAACAGTAATGTGAACAAGTATGTCGAGAAATCTCTAAATAGTAGCGAAACTGTATCTGAATAATAACAAGTAATTTTGAGCAAAAAATACAACCGACTTTAATGCTCATTCAGGTCGTTCTGGTTACGTAGATCCGACTGTCCTCCCTTTTTTTTAAAAAGGTTAAAAAAATGAATACGTATTCTACAGAAATCAAGATACATATTTAAGGACTTTAAGTAAAACTAAACAAAGGAAAACTTGTTCGTGATATCTCGAGGTGTATCCATGATACAAAAATCTGAAGGTAAAACCGCTAAGAGGCAGCCTGAATATGTTTGAAGTTTGCTAACATTACAAAAATGTTTTCAAATTTCCAATCTCGCAAATACATTCTCATTTTCAGTCTCAAATAAATGAAAATTTCAATATTTTCATCTATTTGTTTTTTGTTTTACTTTTATTTGGAATTTGAGTTGCTCTCAAAATTTCAATTTTATAAAATAGACAAATTTCAAAAAATAAATGATGGCTGACGAATTGAGCAAGCGCTTTTACCTTTAAATATTTGTATCATGGGTGTAATAAACAAGGTGTTATTGACAACTCAGTATTATGTAAAAGATATAAACAAACGATTCAAAATGCATAAAATTTTTTTTTCAATTTGACTATAGGATG